TAAGATTCATGCCTTGATTGATTTAATCGCTTCGTTTTCTGAAGCCTGTGTATTTGTAGTTCAAGAAATGTTGGTTTGTTTCGTAATTGAGTTTGAGTAGTGACCGCGCGTCGCGACGCGAAAAATTAAAATTTATAAATTACCTTGACTAACCTCTACTAACTAGTAGTAGTGGCGAGCAAGGGTCGATCCCACGAGGAGTAGGAATTAAGTCGTGACAATTTTCGTATTAATTTAACTAAACTAAGAAAACAATAAAGGGGGGGACTGGTTTATAAAACTAAAAATAAAAATAATAAAATAAAAATCAAATAAATAAGAGAAATCCAGTTTTCAGTTCAGTTATCACCCAATCCAAATCTACCGCTAATTAATCTCGACGCTTTCTTTAAATTGCTAATGAATTACCAACCCTAGCTAACAACAAGCTCTGTTAACTGAATTTTCTCTTATCGATTATTTAATCGAAATAAGTTCTTCGACTAAACGTAACTAGTGGACAACCTAGAATAAGCTCTCTAGATTTAATGCACTAGCAGCATTAATTACTAGGAAAATAGATTGATCTAAGCAATGGACACACAAGCTCGGACCATTTAACTTATGCTCATGTTACCCTAAGGATGCACGACCCCTAGTTTACTACTAACAAAACGAGAATAATAACAATTACGGATTAAAACCTCGAATCTAGCAGTTGAACTATGAATATTCAACCTAGCTGGCCAAACTAAATCAAACACCCATTATTCATAAGAAATGTAAACAGATAACATGAATCAACTCATCCACAAAAATAAATACGGTGTCTAGATTAATCAATGATAAATATAAATCCTCAAATTCATAGACAAATTCAAGTTAGGGTTCAAACATCCCCTCAAACTGGATAAAAATCTAGTCTAACATACTAAGAAAAATAAATAAAAGATAAAAGAGAGAATAGAATTATCCTCTCGTGTGCGATTGCGGCTTCCCTCCGCGTGTGTATTTTTCTCCTCGCGTGCGGCTCTCTTTCTTTCCTGCTGCTTTTCTTTTTCGGCTTCTGTTCCTCTAAAATCCGCCCTCCTTGCGTGTGTCTTCTGCCCAACAAATAAGTCCACAAAACAATGTCCCAGTCTCCTAAGAAATTCGAACTCTTCGATTAATCTCTTGCCAAAAAGAAATTCCCTCAATTGTCTTTCCAAACAATTAATTACCCCCAACAAAAATCCTGGCTGCTTTTCTTTTTGTAATCTAAACTTGGGTTGAGATTTTGGGCCCAGAGTGGGTTAATAATCAACGTTGGGCCTGGACTTTTATTGAAATTCAAGCTGATATCGGCGGAAGCGATAATTGTTCACGTGAACTTGCGTCTCATGCTTTGTGTCCATAAAATACTCTAATGAGCTGAAAATAAATACAAAAATATCAATGTGTATGTATCCATCCAAATAATAAATAAGCCAAAAAATATAAATGTGCGAATAAATTAAGTGTATAAAAATACACTGTTGAATATATAAAACGTGCACATTTTTCGACCTATCAAGTAGTTCGAATAATATTCGATAATCATGATGGGAAAAAAGGCCCAAGTGGAACCTTGTTCTTCCTGCTATCTCTAGAACTTGTTCGTGCCGGAACTTAATAGTTTGCTTCTCGTTGTGGCTTGGTTTTGATAGTTGAACGATTATTTTTATTTTCGTTACCCGAAACTCGGAAGCAGAGTTTTTGTGTGAAGTCGGTGAAAATTTATATGCATAGTATCAAATTTCTCAACTTAAATTTTTATATAATACAGTAATAGAGCTGGATACTCAAGAGCTGACCAATTCTATGCATCTCTTCCTGCTGGAACTGAACTTCTTGCTGACCAAGCTAAGGTATGTGTACTATGTGGTGAGAAAGAAAAAAGAAACAATTTTGACTTAAATTACTTGCCAATTTGTTTTAAGGTAATTGGCTGAATTAGTAGGTATAATGGCTTAGCCTAACACCAAGTAAAAGTTAAGTTCATCGGCTTTAGGTATTGATGTTGCCTAACCCTTTTTAGGTGGTCTTATGAGTTTATGCTTGCATGTTAAATTGGATTAAACTTACCTGTTGGGAGCTGGTTTTGAATTTGTTATTGAGTTACATTATGAGTCTAATGTGAGATGATATTATTCAGCCAACAAATTCAGCTCTAAGATGCAACTGCTGTAAATTTTAAATTTTTTTTTTTCTTTTTTGTTGTTAAATAGATATTGTGCTTGTGTACAGATAAAATATTATACTTCGCTTCTATTTGAAGTGTACTGATTCTTTTGTGCTATGAAATTTGGCTAATTGATATTTTAATATATTTCGTAGCTATATAAAGCGGCACTTGGCAATTGCTTTGAAGTGGAAGACTGGGGGCCAATTGAATGGAGCATCTTGGCCAAACATTTCGAGCGTCAAGGAAAATCACCCTACGCCTATCATGCAGTAAGTTAACAAGATTTTACGGTCTTTTGGCTATAGTTTGCTTCAGTTGTATTCTCTAGAGGAAGTGTAAAGTGTCAGCTTAATAATACCTCAAATTTTTAACTAGCAGAAAATGATTAGACGATACAAGATTATGAATAACATATAGTGGCTTAATTATGCAACAAAAATTAAGATGATATAATTACTTTTTGGTTGCATGTTTTGGTGATTCTTGAAAATTCAGGTTCTATTTCTCAAGGAAATTTAAATGGGATGAAAGCTGATATTATCTACAATAGTTTATTGTTTGATCTAACACCATTGTTTTCATCTTTGGCAGCAATATATGGCACATCTAGCTTCCCAAGGACAAGTCACAAGTGGATGGAAATTGAAGAATTGAGGATTAGCTGCAGCTCACATTTTTTGAAGAACTTAAGAATGATTTGAACATCTCAAGTGAATGCTTAGTAGCTGAACCTATTCTTCTTTCTATTCTCACAACTAGCCGTGACTGAACTCATGTCACGGCCAATTGTATGTAGCTGTTTCCATGCCATTAATCGAAAGGGACTTGAAAATATTAATTTGTGGGGAGGATGGTGCGCCTACAAGGCATATAAAAGTTATTTTTCACAAAGAGGTTTTTAGTATAATATTATTTTTTATTTTATTTATTTAATTTTCTTTATTTATGAATATGATAATAAAGTTGGATAAATAGCGAAAATTATCTACCCCGTGCATCGCACGGGTTCTGCACTAGTTTAACATTATAAAGTAGTTTGCTAAAGACTGTGTTTGGTAAATAAGTTGATAAACTAGTTGATATATGATAAGTTTGATGAGTTAGTTGATAGTGTTGGTCCAATTTGATCGCGGCTAGTTCGACTCTACTAAATTACCTTTTGATTTACTAAATTACATTTTGATTTACAAAGCAGTCGTTGCACTCAAATATATTTTGGGAGTTAGTTGATAGTGTTGATCTGATAAGTTAGTTGATAGTGTTGGTTCAATTTGATCGCTGCTAATTTGGCTCTATTAAATTACCTTTCGATTTACAAAGCAGTCGTTGTTCTCGGAGATATATTTGATAAGTTAGTTGATAGTGTTGATCTTATAAGTTAGTTGATAGTGTTGGTCCAATTTGATCGCGGCTAATTCTACTCTACTATTTTGATTTACAAAGCAGTCGTTGCATTCGGTGCATTTTTGATAGTGTTAATCCAATTTGATCGTGGCTAATTGTACTCTATTATTTTGATTTACAAAGCAGTCGTTGCACTCGGTGCATTTTTGATAGTGTTAGTCCAATTTGATCGCGGCTAATTCTACTCTACTATTTTGATTTACAAAGCAGTCGTTGCACTCGGAGCTAAATGCAGTCAGCTTTATCTTTTACAATTGGATCACTATACACACTCACATACTCATATACTCATATACTCGTATGGAAAAAATCTATTGGAAGTCGAGTTATGGGCAAAACTTGAAATGAACCTATTTATTTAGTGTGATACACATCAATATCTATATATATGCTTTTGTGTTTTTGTTAGCATACGAAAATAATTCTGAAACGGTGAAAATTTGAAAACTTTTTGTTGTCAAATGAAGACTAAACAATTTTGGCTTTACACTTCCAAAACCAAAAATAAAATAAATAAAATAAAATAATAATAATAATAATAATAATAATAATAATAATAATAATAATAATAATAATAATAATAATAAAAAAAAAAATGGTTTTTGTCATCCCAAACAGCACAAACCAAATAATTTCACTACACACGCGTTTCATAATCATCTCCAAATGAATAATTCTAAAACGGTGAAAATTTGAAAATAATTCTAAAACGGTGAAAATTTGAAAACTTTTTGTTGTCAAATGAAGACTAAGGGGATGCTTGGATATAAAATTTTTTGGATTTGTTTGGATTTTTTGGTTTGGTTTGGTTAATTTTGAAAAAGGTTAGATGGTTAGTTGTTAGTGGGTATATTAAAATAACATTTAAAATATAATAATTAAAATTGATTTGATATAAAAGTATGAGAGATATGATTTGAAGTGATAGTTAGTTAAATTATGTGAGTGGATGAATAGTGAATTAAGGTTGATGTGATGTGTATAAATGATTGATTGATATTATTTAATTATAGTAAAATATTGATGATAGTGGGGTTGAATTAAAGTTGAGTTAAAAAAGTAGTTGAGTCAAAAATGATTGGATTTTTTTGAGATAATTTTGTATCCAAGCATACTCTAAACAATTTTGGCTGTACACTTCCAAAACCAAAAATAAAATAAAATAATAATAATAATAATAATAATAATAATAAAAAAAAAAATGGTTTTTGTCATCCCAAACAGCACAAACCAAATAATTTCACTACACACGCGTTTCATAATCATCTCCAAATGAATCCGAGTGGCAAAGCATCTCAGCAAGTACTCACAACATAGCTTAAAAGATAAAAAACAGATACTAATATTGATACAAACATCATATACCCAACTGCATATTAATGTACACACAATCCTAAAATCAGAACAGAAAACCTTAAATCTTGCTTGAACCGGGAGGCCCGTTTTCTTGCACCAGCTTCATGAGCGGCCACAATATGTCCAGCCGGTGGAAGCTTCTGTTCGTCTGCAAGAAAACATAAAATAATATACAAATTACTCCACAAGAATACCATAATGGATGTTTTCGGAATGAGAGTAGATTAGGCCTCTGTAAACGAGCCGAGCCAGAAATCAAGCTCAAGCTCGAGCTTGGTTCGTTTATCACAATTAACAAGCCGAGTACGAGCCATAACAAACAGTTCTCGAGCTTTAACGAACCGAACTATAGAAAGTTATATAAAATTATCTTTTCGAGCCGACCCGAGCTAGACTTGTTTAATTTAACAACACTAGAGTAAATACCTCAACAACAAAGCGGGCCCACGAATAACTATCAGTGCTCTCTTCCATATCGCACTCGAGGATAGTTAATTGCAAACGATGAAGGATATCAGCAATCTGCAGAAACCGATCATGATCCACACAAGCCATCTGGTTGGAAACAAAATTTTTCGGGTTTATATGATAAATAGCAAAATGTAAAATATGTAGAAAATGATATTAAAGTGATACATATACACGTACTTGTATAAGCATTTGTCCGGGATGATTGAGATCTTTCACAAAAACAGGGCAAGATTGTGGCTCACTTCCTAATTCAACGGCCCAGCTTGTTCCCTTCTCGCGTGCCCGGTTGAGTTTGGCTGGTTTTGTTGTCATTTCATCAACTTCCTGGAAAAAGAAAATGCAGGATATATGATTTACGGTTAAAATGCAAATGAGTACATGAAAAAGAATTAAAAAGAAAAACACACAAACTTACCGTTTTGTGATGCCTCGATTTATGAGTCCCCTTGGTTACGTTCCTTAATAAGAGCATGTGCTTTACGGTTTTTTCAAGAAGTCCATCAATGCTACACTGCATTTGTAGCAAGCGAAGAAAAAAAAAGATCAATAGTAAGTTTTACACAAAAGTGTTATTATGTAAGCAAATATCCATACATTTTCACTATTTGGCACAAGGTCCCTAAGCTCCTTCAGCCGTTCTTGAATCCTTTTCTTTTTGGTAACCGGTAATCTCGATAATTTTCCAGGGTCTACCGAGTCGAATCCTTTTCTCTTTCGTTGCTTATCAGAAACTGCACTAATTTTGGCAGCACTTTTTCCAGGTTCAATAGATTCAAAACAGACATTACATTTTCCGACTCCAGCAGTTTTTGTTGATTTATCGTGTTTTCCAGAAGAAGCCAAATTTTCCGATAATGACACATTGGATGAAGTAATGTTCGACTTGTTTGATGAACTATCAGCATTTAAGTCAACCTCAGACCAAGTTTCACGAGAATGGACAACAAAACACCGGCGCAAATCGCGAAAATCTTGAACAACACGAGTCGTATTTTGATTCTCTATTAAATTTACTTTTCCTGAGGTGAGAGCTGAAGCTTCATCCAAATTATCTGGAAAATTAAACATTGTTGATAACTGATGAGCCGAATATTCGGAGCCGTACAGAAAGGCTTCCATCATGTGGGATTCGAAGTTGGTTTTTACATAAGCAGCTATAGCTGCATCTTCAGCCACCTGAATTCATTCATTAGCAGATGAAAACTTTTAATAAAAGAAAGAAAGAAGGAAAACAAAAGTCCACAAAGTAAGTAAAGATAAGATTCTGATAATAGCAAACGTAACTGAGCAGAAATATATCAAATATACATTGTTTTTTAATTCGTCGAGAAGGTCATCATAAAATCATCAACTATTTTCCATTTGCATTAGAAACAAATGTAAATAACATGGAAACAAATACAAACCATTGCTACTGATCCAAGCTGCAGAACTCCATGTGGCATTACAGGCAAAAGTAATACAGTCTGCATAGAGAAGCATAAAAGTCCTGATCTGTTAATTGATTTAATTTTTTTTTTCCAATTGTAATCTGCAAAGCTTATATTATGCTTATGCAGCAGTAAGAATGACCATTATCAAGCTTTGATATTAGCTTACCCTAATTCCAGCTGAAAACTGAAGCAGCCATTCATCCTGATACTGCAAATAACGA